ATTCACGTCGCACATAAAATGTAACCAACGCTGGGTATATTTTAGCCAAAGAAACGAAAAGTATACAACATGCAAATAAGGTTTTTTCGACATTATTTGTTCCATTCTTTAAAATGAATGCAACCGTTGCAATCGACGAAATAATCTGTGACAAAATTACAGCTGCAAAAAAGCCAATGTATGCCCATTTCTTCCAAACACTTGTGTAATTATCCGGAGCTGTCATCATTTGCTGTGCACTTGATATTGGTTTCATTATAAACTTAACTATTTAAATTTAAAAATGAAAAAGGCGAGTATTGAAAATCCGAAATAATGACAAATTGATTTTTGGCTGGTTACTAGAGATCTTCTCGAAAATGAAGTAAACTGTAACTGTTAAGAAATATGACTGATTGAATGCATTTCACAGCTCTCTCTTTTATACCAGTTTTCCATTGTACTGAGTCAGCTTTTCACACATGTTTCGATTATCAATATGCATTTGATCCACGTACATATTTTTAACAAACAAAATAGATTTATTTGTCATAATAAATCAAAAGAATAAATAATTAGATGACACCTTTGAATAAACGAAATGGGAAAAATGTTGTACTGCACATTTAAAGCGTTTTTATCATTTTGCTAGCCCAGAACGGCACAAAAAAGGGATAAAATCAATGATGAACTCATTGTTGTTTCATTTTTGCTACGACGGAATATTTTATTTTATTTTGTTTTATAAAAAGAAAAAGTATTGATTCTCTTGCCGAAAGAAATCTTTATTTCATGTTAGAGTCAAAGGACTAAGGACGTCAAACAATGGTTGGAAAAGATATCAAATAACAACATATGCCTTTTTTCAGATCAACTGAACCTGTGATAACACTATTGGCATTGATGATTCAGAATTTTTAATGATCTAGTCGAATACAGGACAAAAAATATTGATCGAAATCAGTGTGTTTCTCTGAAACAAAATGTATGAGGTGTAAAACATACAAACCACGATAACCTGCCATTAACACTCTCACTTTTCGGTTTCAGTCAGAAAACCTACCGTAAAAATTGCACAAATATTTCTACTACCTCAAACGAAAAGGTAAGCTCTATAAATTGTTAAAGTTGGCAAATTTTCAAACCTTTCTATAGTTTTACTGCCCAATTAGGAGCCATATATAGTACCGTTGAAGAAAAATTAATGCTCGATGAAAGTGGTAGGTCGGTTTTTTAGGTTAGGGGTAGTTTTTTTAAACTTCCAAAAACTTCGAAAGTTCTACTGCTGAAACCGAAAAGTAAAAGTGTTAATTGCAGATTATCGTGATTTGGTTTAAAAAAGTCGTGAAAGGAAAGTTAGAAGAAATTACATAACACCAAATACACCTCATCAAAAACACACACTAATATCGATCAATATTTTTGTCCTGTATTCGGCTTGATCATTAAAAATTCTGAATCATCAATGCCATTAGTGTCATCACATTTGGTTGGTGTAAAATCACAGCGGACGGCAGTTAATATCGCATTACATTTATTGTTTGCTTGCAACAAAATACTATATGAATTTGCCTTTGCATCTGAAAACAACAAAGATATAAGTTAAGTACAGTTCTATCGATTTGGTCTAAATAGAATTACTTTGGTAATTATAAAATTCTGTCAATCGGATAATTGTGTAAGAAACTGATGAAAAGCATGCAATGTGAAAAAAATGAAATGTATACAAGGACCGTTCAAAATCGGTTGACAGATACTTGAAGAAGGTTGCACGACATGCGGTTAGAAAAATATTAGAATAATCGACGCAGTCAACAAATTCGAATTGACTCACTTCCATTTTGACATTGGTTCGTTAGATGGACACACGCTGAGCCAAATTAAAGCTCGACGATTTGTTTCTAATGGCTTCATATTTTTTTGGAATCACACTTAAAATGTTAAAAATGATTGGAATAATTACTAAACGATGGAATTTTTAAAGTTATATATGTTGACACTATTCTGTTTGTAAGCAGCCCGCTCACAAAACTGTTTAGATAATATCTGTATCAAGTTTTACAGAGTTTCACTACGCTTTGAATTTTTATAGCTGTAAATTAGACCAAAAGATAACCTTGACTCAAATATGCCAAAAAAATCTTTCTTTCTTCAATTTCTTTAATCTTTTCTCAACAGGAAAATGTTAATTGTGAGAACTTCAGACACATGTAGAATGTAGATACCATTTTTCTATGTAATTGATCTCGTTGATATACAAAGTAGGGTGGGTCATTTGATCCATTTTCATGGATACAACCATACAAACACTTTGGAAGTTACAGATTTTCCCACAGCGGTGGTCTATCTGTTACCGAAAACACTGACGCGCTCCCTGATTGCATTAAATCGAACTAATCTGTCCCAAATGTGTTGTTTTGCATCTAACAGATGGCGCTCGCATATTTACAATAACAAAAATTTACTTAAAAAGTTTGAAAAGTACAGAAAAATAATTTAAAAAAGTAACAATAAATAAATTTTAAAACGTTTTTTAATGGAAATTAGTTTTTTTTTTGTAATTTTGTGAAATTCATTGTTTTCAATATTGAAAAATATTAATTTAGAAAAATAAAATGGTTAACATAACCTCACTTTTATGTCACAATGATAACAAGTTAATTGCTAAAAAAATCTACAAAGCACCAGAAAATATTTACAAAATAAATGTAAATATATTTTTAAATGTTAATTTAAGTGAACATTAATATCATTTTCATTTTTGTGGGATTGGAATTCAAAATATTCGGATAGACCATCCGACAACGCAATTTTTTCATATTTTTTTCGATTGTGACCATGTTCTAGGATCACTTCGACTTAAATGCTTGACGTTTGTATAGAGGTCCTCATTTGTGATATGGTCATGCTCTCACCTCCTACTGAGGTCAGCAAGCGATATGCTTACACTGAAAATGTTCAAATTAAGTGTAGGATGATTTTGTGAATTATACATATTATTTTCAATCATATATTTTGACCGCAGATTTATCAGAATGATTCCAGCCATTTTCAATGAAATAACTGTACCTCACTGAATCTAATTGTTCCATGATTATTTAGAATTCTCATTTTCAAAGCCCCAAGTCTAAGCTATAATATGCCGCATAGCTCATATCCCAGAAAATTCTTGTTTTCAAGATATGGCATTCGATAGTGCAAAAATGGCCATTTTTCCAAACAATCGCTGTGGCACCTATACTTGACATACCCAGGGCATATGCATTTTCGTTGGAATGGTCTTAAAGTAAGCTATCGAATAGTGCCAATTGCGACTTAAAAATTTCAAGTTGGGGTCAAAATCAAAATTTGACCGTCTGGCCGAACACATAACGGATATTTTCGCGAAAAAGACTCCATAGTTTTCTTTTGAGAATTTCATCGATTTATGCCCCAAGTCAAAGATGAAAAAGTGTATACACACACCACTGAAAATTTGCCGTCCCCATTATGAGCCATAATTTATGTCATTTGGAACCAAAAAAATAACCTAAAAGTCTATATTTTAATTGTAATTCAAAATTATTAAAATTCACGTGTGGAGATGTTTTGAATCTTTAATTTGGAAAAATACTCAAAATTACTGATATCAAATGAAAACCTCTGACGAGGTGAAGACCGAGTGACGAAACCAAAATGTGAAACACAAAATTTCTGTGAATAAAAACTTAATACATTTGTATATTCGGAACGTTGTATTGTGTCAACAGTCCATACTAGGGTGGTCCCGAATATACACAAATTCGAATTTTGATCGCAGCACACTCTATATGTGTTAGACTTGGTCCCACAAACATATGTGGAAAGTTTCAGCACTCTATTGTACCGGCAACACGTGCCTCAAACGCCTTGAAGATTTTCTGTCGACACAGATCGTCACACATTTCGAACAAATTTTTTTCGACAAAACTATATGATAAAAATGTGTATTGAGGGGTTTTTTGGCACGAGAAAACCGAATCTGGCATTAGTTTCGCGATACAAATAAGCTTTAACACACTTTTCATACAAAAATCTGAAAAAATCACTAAAAATGTGGATTTTGTATGGGAGCTATACCTGTATGATATCGTAATGGGCTGAGACTTTGCACAGGCTATTTTTTTCACAAAAAAATAACATTCTGAAAGATTCACGGAATTTCATATATTTTTGTCGAAAAAAATTTGTTCGAAATGTGTGACGATCTGTGTCGACAGAAAATCTTCAAGGCGTTTGAGGCACGTGTTGCCGGTACAGTAGAGTGCTGAAACTTTGCACATATGTTTGTGGGACCAAGTCTAACATATATAGAGTGTGCTGCGATCAAAATTCGAATTTGTGTATATTCGGGACCACCCTAGTCCATACTGACAGTAAAAAGAGCGGAATTTCGGCAACGTTTTGAATGATCAAATGTTTATTAAGCTTTTATTCACAGTACACAGAAAAATTATCTATCATTTATTTTCGTCACAAAATTGATATCAGAAATGTTGTGTTTCACATTTTGGTTTCTTCACTCGGACTTCACCTCGCCAGAGGTTTTTTATTTGATAAAGGCATTCGATATCCAAAAAGCTTGACGTCCTTGACGTTTGATTGTCAAATGGAAAAAAGGTTTCTTTGAGGCAAGAGGATCAATACTTTTTCTTTTTTCAACACCAAATAAAATAAAATATTCTGACATATATGTATGACATTGATTTTATCCTTTTTTGTGACGTTCTGTGCTAGCCAAATGATAAAAATGCTTTAAATGTGTAGTACACCATCTTTCAGATTTCTTTTACTCAAAGGTGCCATCTAATTATTTATTCTTTTGATTTATTATGACAAACAATCTATTTTGGTTGTACAAAATACGTGGATCAAATGCATATTGAGAATCGAAGCATGTGTGAAAAGCTGACTCAGTTCTTACAATTGAAAACTAGTATAAAAGGGAGACCTGTGAAATGCATTCAATCAGTCATATTTCTTAACAGTTACTGTTCAGACTTATTTTCGAAATCGATCTCTAGTAACCAGCCAAAAATCAAATTATCATTTTTTCCAATTTTTAATACGCGCCTTTTTCATTTTTCAATTTAAAAAGTTGAGTTTATAATGAAGCCAATACCAAGTCTACAGCAAATGATGACATGGCTTTGTCTCTTGCCTCCGGATAATTATACAAGTGTTTGGAAGAAACGGGCATACATTGGATTTTCTGTAGTTTTGATTTTGATGCAGATTATTACTATGATTGCATCGGTTGCCTTTATATTAAAAAATCGAATCAATAATTACGAAGAAACCTTATTTGCATATTGTTTAGTTTTCTATACGTTGGCCAAAATATACACCGCGTTGGTTGCATTTTATGTGCGACATGGAATATCTATTGTTGTGTCAAATTTAACGAAAATCTATGACACAGGCAAGTCTACATGAAAAATTACTACTTTTCAAGATGTAACAGAAAAGATCACTTACAAAAATCTACCTTATGTTTATTCCTAATTTAGACAAAGATGAAGATTCATTTCAATTTTTGGAACGAGCAAATGACAAATGTGAATGGTTATTGAAGTTTTATTTCACACGGGTGTTCTCAATTCAATGGTTTTTTCATCTTTTAACTGGTATTGGCTCATTGTTGTTTTGTATGTATTTGGATGGAGAGCTAAATAGAGATCATTTATATGAGCCATTTCATTTTGTGTGAGTAACTTTTGTCCAATTGTGCATTTTCAATATTTTTCAACTCACAAATGATCTTAAAATCTATTCGTATCATCGTCAGTCTACCCTGGAATCAAACGACACCACTTGGATATTGTGGTCAACTCTCCGTGACCCTTCTCTATTTTATTTCTTATTTCACTTTAAACGGTGCCTTTTTCTTGATATTTATTTCGATGTGTTTTCATCATGAAGCATTTTATGAAATGTTTCAACATAAGCTACGCAAATTAAATCATCCCGATGAGAATGGCAATAAGAAAAAGTTACTTTGCAAAATTATTCAGTTCCAAATTTCGATTAGAAAGTGAGTAAATGCTCCAAATTTCATTTTGTATTTTAGTAAAACTATAAACTAATTCGGATTTGTATTTTTATTTAGTTGGTTTTTATATTCGTCTGAGGTCTATGCATTTGTCATTATGATCGAACTAATTCATAATATGTTGGGAATGGCAATTATGGTTTTTGATGTGGAGATGGTAGCTAACTTCTACTCTTTCCAATCAATTCATTCAATTTATGTATTATATGTTGTTCGTATATTTCAGCAAGCAAAACATTTTAATATTGATGGTATTTTTTTCACCACGGGATTGTCCATTTGCATTGGGAATTTGTTTTTGTCTTGCTATTTTGGAAAATTAGCTTCCAATAGCTATGAGAAAATGGCAGATTGTCTTTATCATGATTGCAATTGGATTGAGTTACCTAATGATCTTAAAAAGTCCATTATTCTTATGATTCAAATGTCTCAAAAACCCATTTTCTACCATGGATTCGGTATCGTTGAGCTTAATTTGGAAACGTTCACTAAAGTAAGTTTAACTTGATTTAGTTTACTGACATTTCATTTATGCCGTGTAATATAAATAGGGCTGTAAATTTCACTCTTGCGGAAAAGTTTGACATTTCGAAGTATGGTTTATAATTTTTGTACAACAGTCAAATGTGTCAAACTTGTAGCTAAATGTACATTTAAAATTAATACAAGTGTGCGGCGCACATGGAATGTGTGAAAATTGCAGTTCTAAATATAAAGGCAGATTTCGCATTTTTTTTATTGCTTGTATTTTTATTAGTTCTACACACAGTGACAAATTATAAAAAATAGTCTTATTTCAGTTTATTTCGAGAAACATATTTTTTTCTTGGAATAAGATACTCCACAAATACAATTAACTTTTAAAAATTGTAATCTAAGCCAATATCCAACACTTTCTGATTGACATTTTTCAATTTTTTTTTGTTTCAGTTTATAAAGACCACCTGCAGCTATTATATGATTTTGAAAACTTTGAATGACGAATAATTTACAAAATTGCTTCTGTTAAAATCAGCAACATTGCGATGCACCCTTTGCACCTACTAATGATTTCACATTGCATTGAAAACTAATAGTTCCAGAAATGAAGAATTTTTTTTTGTTTTCAACTTTTGCGAAAGTGAAACCTTTTTTGTTCTTCACTATTTCTGACACAAAATTTGTACTGGATTTTGCACTTTTTGTTACTGTACTTCACAATAGCAATTTCTGGCTGCGGCATTGTTTTTTGAATTACATAAGACTTTCTTTCTGATATATTTAATTATGTAATGTGAAAGTAAGCCAAATAAGCCTTTTTCTTGCTCACAACTAATTTATATAACATAAATTCCATCGGAATATTTCGGAGAAAACCTACTCGAAAACAGAAAATGATTGTATAGTCATTTCCAAAAAGATCTGTGTTGTCAAACTAATACAATGAATTTCGGAACGCATTACCATTCGAAAGTACACGAGGCTCCTTAGTTAAACGTGTCAATTTGGTTTGAATTTTGTTGAGGGTATGTTGTTTGTTCAAAATTTTGACAGTTCGCTGTAACAGATCTTATTGAAAACGACTATACATTATATAGAATAGCTTTTTGGGAAGTGCGGAACATAGCAGCACAATTTTCATAGCTCCGATTCACAGGCGCTATTCGGGTATACCGACAGCAATTTTTTAAAAAGATAAACACAATACAAACACAAAATTATTCATAATTGTCATTGAAATGTAATTTGAATAAAATTTATTTTCATGGCGAATGCTATAATATATCAATTAAAAATACGTATATATAAGCCAATATTTCACTCTGTTTATTGTGCTGAATTTTTCGAAAATTCATCAATCATAAACATAGGTTCTGACATAGTTCGCATTGACCCCCTCCTAGCGCCCGAGGACCCCCTCTTGAGAAAATATTCGATTTTCCTTGGGTTTTTCACAAGGAATAAAATTATTCCATTTTGCTAGGGTATTTTGTTGCCAGCTCTCGAACTACGATGATTCCGAATACATGATAGAAAATTGGTGTAAGGTTTTCTACTAGATCTACTCATTGATAAAAATTATTTTTCTAGGTGGCGCCGGAGTTAGGTTTGAATAAAAAATTTCAACTAGCGGGCAGGTGGGTATATGTAATACATATGGGCTCCCTCACATCTCACGAGTAATTTTGAGCTAGGGGGTTATTTCGAGCATAGATAAGTTGTTCTCAATTTGTACTGCCATTTTTAGAATTTGTACAGTACAAATTGTACTAAACGGGGCTTTTTTTCATACTCATCGGATCGTACTCTCTATTGGTACTAAAAATAATTCTATGACAGAATTTTTTCAAACCTTTCTAGAATTTTGGTGCCATTTAGCACTTTAATCGTTGAAAAAAAATTAATGCCCCATGCGTTCGCATGAAAGTGGTGGGTCGATTTTTTGTGTTAGGGGTAGTTTTCTTAAAACTTCCAACGTAGAACATAAAATGAAAACTAAAGATTCCAAAAGTTAGTGCTCAAATAGTGTCCGCGATCTGACATGGTATCCCATTATCCCCCACGTTTTGAGTGGCTCTAATATTTGGCATCTACTGTCTGAAACCGAAAATTTGGAGTTTTAATGGCAGGTTATCATGGTTTGGATTTTTAAATACATTGTGAGAGGAAAGTTAGAAGAAATTACAAAACACCAAATACACCTCATACGGATGCATGTTTCTTTCATATTAATTTAAAAAAAAACACTTATATCGATCAATATTTTTGTCCTGTATTCGGCCCAATCATTAAAAAAAGTTGGTGTAAAATAAGGACATTTTTTCTTTTTTTAACACAAAATAAAATAAAATATTCCGACATATATGACATTGATTTTATCCTTTTTTGTGCCGTTCTGTGCTAGAAAAATGAAAAAAAAGCTTTAAATGTGCAGTACACCATTTTTTCGATTTCTTTTACTCAAAGGTGTCATCTAATTATTTATTCTTTTGATTCATTATGACAAATAAATCTTTTTTAGTTGTTAAATCAAAAACTACAATTGTATAAAAGGGAGAAATGCATTCAATTCGTGGAAGCGCTTCGGTGACCGTTGGTAAAAGGGTAAAAAAATTACACAGAACGTTTCAAAAATATCAAAAACAACTACGCAAAAATGCGCACAAACAGACACATACCAAATGCTTTTTATAGGAAAACCATATGACATTTTTAAAGTGTTTCATTTTTTGGACGCATTAATCGATTTCGGCGTAAAGGTATCGTTGTTTATCGATGAATAATTGCTACAAATTCATCTTTATTAAATTTTTAACATTATTTGGTTGCATGAAGAAGATCATTTGACTTCAGAATAGTTTAGTTTCTGAAATTCAACCAGCCAATAAATTTGCATATATGGTCACCATTGATGGCTGTGACTCGGCTTGAAACACAATCAAAAAATATAGTATTTGTTTTAGAAACTCTTAATTTTTTTAATAAAATTTTGGAGCTTATGTTATACATAATCAAAGAGACGGTATTTCAATTTTCAAATCCAATGGTCGTTGTGTGGCGTTCATAAACGTAAAAAGAACTGATTTTGGTTTGTATCGGCACCTGAGTATGCATTCTATATCATCCCACGATAATGAACGTCTTTAAATTCATCATCAAATGTCATATTTTGAATTGAACTTCCTCAATTTTTTGGTGAATCCTTCAATTGCTAGTACATAATGCCAAAAATATTCTAAAAATTCCCTGGCAATCTCCACAAAAGATTTCAATTTTTATGCCTCCAAAATCTGTGTACAGTGTAACTGACTGAAAAAAATATTTGAAATTAACAACAATAGAACCGATAATACCTTTCAATGTATGGTCTGTGTTATGCGCAAATATTCACGACTGGACTTTTATCTTTACATGAAGTCGAACCAAGTAAATGATAACATCGCCGTGACAGTGACCAACAACATGCCGTCAATGATTATCTTTGGTGCATCGGAGATGCCACCCAATCGGCCATTTGGTTTGAAGAGACGGGAAAGATGTCCAGGATCGCGGAAATTTTTAGTGAGCCTCAAGAAACTTGGCCATTCAGTGGTGAAAATGGAAGATGAATGGGGAACATCACAAACATGTGCGAATTGCCAAGAACGATTTCCAGCGAACACAAAACCGCATCGATTCAAAGTATTCTACGGTTGCAAAGCGGAACCGATTACTGGACTACTGGACTACCGGACTCAGTCGCTAGTCTACCAAATATAATTGTGGCAACGGTTAGCAAACGTGCTTTGCAAAAGGAATGGAAGGAAATTAAGCATCGAATGTGCAATGGCAATTATGAGGATTTGGCGAGAATACTTCGGAATGGGCGTTTAATGTCAAAGGTTAATGTTACCTACAAAAATTGGCCATTAAATGTTCAGGATGATGATGCTGATCCACAGACAGTTGTTTGGCACCGCGATATTGTTGCTGCAAAATGCATTATGCTTAAAAGTATGAATCAATTGAAAATAGAGTCTATTCATTTTTTAATGTTTTTGCTTCAAGTTACACAGGACTTTGTCGGATGTTTGGCGTACTAGTGCCTGATTCGTTGAGAAGACCACCAAACAATGTCAACTGACAAGCAGCACCACTGAATCCATAAATTATTAGATAAAACAAATATTATAATAACGATTAGTTAGCTTAGCTAGGCTTGACACCATTTGTGTTACACAAATCTTGTGGCCTTGTTGTGCGTTCATGAGAACAGTACAACGGTAGTACGGAGGGAAGGAGCCCGTAGGTGAGTCAAGTTTTTAATTTAAAAAAATGATATTTCGTTTACAATTCAATTGATACTAATGATTGTCGTTCCTCTTTTTCATGTATTCACACCTGAATGTTACGCTATGGCAACCGTAAAATGACTGAAACTACACACAAATCCGGGTTCAAATTTGACCGGTAATTTTTTTAAACATTTTTTCAGATTGATGCCAATAACGTATTACTTTTCTACAAGATTGTCCGCCTGTAAATGCACATTTTCGTTGCACGTTTGCTCTGGTTTGGTGTACAGTGCCGATACGGAAACACTATTGGTCACGATTTGATGATGGAATTGTTTGGATCGGTTGCCCAATTGGTTGATTTCATCGACGTCGAACAACAAATTCCATAGTCCATCTCGATCATGATCTCTGTAGTATTCTTCGGAGTTTTTATTTAGTCGGTTGGTGTACGGATTGCGGAATTTGGGAACCAATTTTCGCACGCTTGCAATTTTTTTCAAATGATAATCGCATAACGGTACAAGAGCAAAACTGTTTATTTTTCGGAGGGCGATTGTTTGTTGGCTGTTGAAAGTTCGGATTGTCACGGAATATTTCATGAATGGTATATCATTGTGTGGCATCACTGTGACAAGCTGCTATTTGACGTTGCATTTTTTCGAACAACCACAACGATTCAAACCAATGATCCTTTACAAAAAATTTCATGCATTTTTGGCGTCGCCATCCAATTGCAACCAGATCATCCAATAAAATGTTGGCCTTTTCTACTCTTTCCACATTACCATTTGTCAAGTCGTTGGATCGATATGCTAACATTTTGGCATTTCTGATGTCGATGCCATCAAATCTCGGTCCATTGATGTTGTGATTGCGATACCAGCATTGCATTCGAAAGAATGACTTAAGTCGACCTTCACACCAAGTGGTGAGATTGGTTTTCGTATTTGCAATGTGCTGTTTGACAAAATAACGAAAACCATTCTCCAACTTTTCCTTGTTCGGCCATTCGAACTGTTCATCACTGAAGTTTTCGACCATAAACCGAAACTCTGGCGGTATGGGATAATCGGTATTATTATTGTAAACATTTTTGGCCAATACCGCATTGAAGCAATCGAAGAAGAACTGTCGACGATCCCATCGCAAAAAGAATTGACGATTTTCATTGTCAAGTGCTTCATTCACCTTGAATAAAATCAAAAGTGAGGCCAATGAGGCAACTTCCGTCATTTGATGACTGCGCTCAAACAATATTTGCGTCACAATTGCTGCATACTCGGGTCGAAATATTGTTTGCAAGCCACTTTTTATTGCAACGAAATTATTTTTTTCTTCTCTTTCGTCATCGTATACCGGCGAATCGTTGTTATCTCTTTTTCTTTTCATTCTTGAAGAACTGATACAAATAAACGAAAAAAAAATGAACACAAATTTAGAAAAAAATGCAATAAATCACAAACATAATAAGATAAAAACACTTCTATCACAAATCAAATGAAACAGTATTGAAGAACGCATCATAAATATCACGTCTTACCTCAACAAAGTGACTCTGTATTCTAAATCGAATAATGAAATTTATTTCCAATGAGACATCAAATATTTTCCCGATCGAAATGTTGTTGGAATATTCACAGTAAATTTTATCAACACTCTGTTATATCAAAATTAAAACAAAGACAGCCAAAAAACAAATTGTGAATATATCCATTCCACAGCGAACAGCGTTCCGAACACACAAAATCGTTGAAATTGAAATGATAATAAAATTAATTGATCACCCGAACCACGCTACAAACACTCACATGAAATTCTTAAGAAATCCTCTTAAAAACAAAACAAAACAAAGTTTTATTGTAAACAAAATCGGTTGGTGCGATAGTTGTTTATACTAACAATACATGTAAATGAATATCGTTGGATTTGGTTTGACACATATACACCGCGTGAATAGAAAATTGTCAGAAAGATGTCAGTTGCATTTCGAAAATTGAAAATACTAATTCCACAAATAAAGAAATATAAATGCAATAAATTACGTATAAAAGAGTTTTTCTGCAGAGTTTTGAATTAATATCTTTCGGAACAAATTGTTTATTTTTTTATTTGAGCGTAAATGAACAAATGAATTGTTAGATTTTCATTTTAAAACTTAATGTGTTGGGTTGTGTTCACATTATGTTGTCAAACGAAATATTATTGGATGTGAAAGAAACAAGTGGATCCATTCCATTGGAATTCGTGAAAACTATGCATATATATTGCCTATATGCCGTTCCATTTGACACGAAAATGACCATCAGAATGGGCCAAAACGTTACATTTTTCAACGTTAGAATGTACTTAAAACATTACAAATTTGTTTGCTGGGAAACTCAATTGTTCCAGAGATGTACCGGTGAGTACCAATACATGAAAGACCGATACATACGTGCACTAATCATCACTTCGTCTCTAATGAATACTCACCACTTTAAGTATATGTACGATACTTTTGTGTATGCAATGTTTCTCTCAATCAATAGCTACAACAGAGATAAATCTATATATTTTGCTCCGAAAAAATTGATGACAACTAATGAAATGAATTCAAACAAATTATTTCACATATTATTTTAATATTTTAACTGAAGATTTTTTTTCCCAAATATTCAGTGTTTTTTTAATTCCAACCATATGAGAGTCTAACAAAATACTTAATTTCGCTGAATAGAATTATCGAACCCTGTGCTATAACGATGACATTTAATTTTTGTAATCACACTAATACATACAGTGTATAAGTGCCGCGGTATTTTAGTTGTCATTCCGCCATCTTGGAAAAAATAATATATAGAAGAGAAGTCATTTGAACGCTGTACACATTTTTTTTGCATTGATTCTCTTATTTTGTGATTTTGAGTATTTACGTTTTAAATCGTAAAAATGGGTGCCGAAGGTGAGTTGTAATATTTAGTTTCCCATTCAATTTATATTTACTTTGTTTAAATCTTTGTTCTTTATTTGTTTAAAACCACTATATGTTTTTATACTTTTTAATATTGGGTAAATTTCAGATCGTGAGCGTGGTGAAAGAGGTGGTGTTGGAGAGCGTGGAAATACTCGTCGAAATAGATCCCGGGATCGTTCACACAGCAGAGGAAGACGTTCAAGATCGCCCGATAGCCATAGAGGTGGTAGACGTCGCAGTCGTTCCCGTTCACCACGTAAACCACATCGTTCACGTCGACGAAAGTGCAGTTTGTACTGGGATGTCCCACCACCAGGTAATTATATTGTTTTAATGATGTAAACAAATCGTTTGTTTCAAGCAAAGTGCCGCTTCAGGAATTTAACACCAACACAAAATGAATTCCAGAATTGGCATATCACCAATTGTTTTGAATGACGTAAATGTATGTAAATATGTTTTTTGTTTTCAGGTTTTGAGCATATTACACCGCTTCAATACAAGGCAATGCAGGCAGCCGGACAAATTCCTGCAAATATCGTTGCCGATACACCGCAAGCAGCTGTGCCCGTCGTTGGCAGTACAATAACACGGCAAGCACGACGATTGTACGTCGGTAACATACCATTTGGTGTGACCGAAGATGAGATGATGGCCTATTTCAATGATCAGATGCATCTTTCTGGTCTCGCACAAGCCGCCGGCAATCCAGTATTGGCTTGTCAAATAAATCTCGATAAAAATTTTGCATTTTTGGAATTTCGTTCAATTGATGAGACCACACAGGCCATGGCATTCGATGGTATAAATTTCAAGGGGCAAAGTCTTAAAATTCGTCGTCCGCACGATTATCAGCCAATGCCTGGCATGGAAGGGGGTTCGGTAAATGCAAGCAACAATCATCAAGTTGGACCGGTTAGCGGTGTCATTAGTACAGTTGTTCCGGACTCACCTCACAAAATATTTATTGGCGGTTTGCCAAACTACTTGAACGAAGATCAGGTAAGTAATTTCAGCCATTGGACTCAAATCGGCATTTTTTTAGGTGTGATCAATCGTTTCCGCTCTTTAATCGCTCGAACACATACACAACGGCTCAATACATCGGCCGAAAAAATTATATACAATATTTCAGATTTATAGGTTTTTTTTTTAATTCTATTGGATGAGCTACCTATGTGCGTCGTATCTTTCAATTTGATTTACAGGAAAATCAAAAAAAAAAAACTAAAAATCGACACAACAACACATGCACATTCTTCTTTATTCCACAGTGTTCTTTTATTTCAGGCGCAAAACATTACACGCACAATACATCAGGAAATGTGTTATTTTTTTTGTTTTTCATTCAGTCAAAATGTCAATTTTTTGCAGCATTTTTCTAGCCTTTTCAGCCTTTCAGATTCATTACACGCTTTACTCCAATCAATATTCGATATTCGCGTTATATTTATTTTTTTATTCAAATTTGTCTATGATTGCTTTGACTAAACTCTGTTTTGTTTTTCTTTCCTTCCTCCCAAAAAAACAAAACTCTTTTTTTTGTGGTCGACGTGCGCGTTTCACACTGTAGATGATCGACCACCCGTATGTGATTGAGACTGTTTTTTTTCTCATAAAAAAATTGGTGACCAAGTATAAAATAATGCACGTTACCGAATTGCGCGCACATAATTTTTGATTCCAAATTCACTGTCTACCTCACATTTTACGAATACTACGGTATAAAACTGTGTCTGGAATTGCTCTTGATTGAAGGCAAGTGTGCGCTATTATTCAACAGGAAAAAAATTAAAACAAAGATAACAAAATATTAAATACATGAATGCAGTGATAAATAGGGAAACATTTCTAGTATTTTACAATGTGTCGTGCTATAAAATTGAAAAAGAAAAAAATAATAGATAAATTTTGCGGAAAAAAGGGCATTTCATTAGAATTGATCAAATTTCGAGTATTCAAATCCATTGGATTATTTGGCACATCCTCATGTTCAAAATCGTTAGATATCCTTCCAATTTTCTTTTGTTCGTTTTACTTCACAATTTACAATCCATTCGCTTACTGGCAATCACTTCTAGATGTGCTCTCGTTTTTTTATTATTAACTTTTCATGTAAGCAAATGTGATGTGCACGTAAGTACGTAAGGGCAAACGCGTTAGATTTACATGAAGTTTTTTTAGATTCTGAACATGCAAAATAGAAACAAAAAAGAAATCAACTTTTGTTTAAGAAGCAACAAAACTAATTCAATTTTCGTCCATTTTCAGGTGAAGGAATTGCTGTTATCATTCGGACAATTGCGTGCATTTAATTTGGTCAAGGATGCAGCGACCGGTTTAAGTAAGGGCTATGCGTTCGCCGAATATGTTGATTTTAACATAACCGATCAGGTATGTTCACTTTGATTTTTTTTAGTTCTTTAAAATATTTCTAAATGGTTGTTTTTTTTATTTCTTGATTCAAATATTCGCAGGCAATCGCTGGACTGAATGGAATGCAATTGGGTGACAAAAAGTTGATTGTTCAACGGGCCAGTGTCGGTGCAAAGAATTCGAATTCATCAAATGTACAAACAGCGCCGGTTCAAATCCAAGTGCCAGGCTTATCGCTTGTTGGCACCTCGGGTCCAGCCACAGAAGTGCTATGCTTATTGAACATGGTAACACCCGACGAACTACGCGATGAAGATGAATACGAGGATATTTTGGAGGATATCAGAGAAGAATGCAACAAATATGGGGTTGTGCGTAGTATTGAAATACCAAGACCCATTGAAGGAGTTGAAGTACCCGGTTGTGGAAAGGTAAGTCAATGAAAAATTCGCCAAATACGAACAAACCAAACGAATAATGAACTTTTATTTGTCTTTTTCTCTTTTTCGCAGGTATATGTCGAGTTTAATTCTGTTATAGATTGCCAAAAGGCGCAACAAGCATTAACTGGACGAAAATTCAGTGATCGTGTTGTTGTCACATCATACTTTGATCCTGATAAATACCATCGTCGTGAATTTTAATATCCAAACTAACAACTAAAACACATTCATTTTAACAATATACTGAGTTAAGGATGACACTAATTACATGAAAATAGGGTTACGAACGAAATAAAATCAGTTATAATTGTATGCATCAACAGCAGTCACGAGTAAATTGAATAAAGAACTTTTTTTGTGTGACAGTCCAAACGAATATTTTTTTTATTTCTTTTCTTCTAAGAACCCTAGCAAACTAAATTACAAAAAAGGTCTTAACTTTCTTATGAAAAACCCTTGCAAATCGAAGAAATACTTGCATGCCGCCGAGGTATATAAAACCATTCGAATGAAATCATGCATGGGCACAAGGGAGTGTAAGCTCGGATAACCTCCCTAAATCGTTCGAGCTACATCCTCTCCCTTTCGATTTGCTAGAGACTTTTCACACGAAAGTGAAGACCTTTTCTTTGCATTTCAAATTGTAAGATGAAGAGAAAACTTTAAATTTGCTTTTTTGTGTCAGTTGCAAGTTGAATTTGTAGATATAAGATAAGAAACATATGTTTTAACTCTCGGAGATATGAATCGTCGCGGCGAAACAGTAGCTCTTATTTTTCTCCAAATAATACTGCAACATGAAGTTATGTTGCAGTATTATTTGGAGAAAAATAAGAGCTACTCTTTCGCCGCAACGATTCATATAAGATAATGCGATTTCTTACCGATCACTTCATTTTTAATTATAATACATTGAAGCTGTTAAACAAGTTGCGTAAAAACCTGTTCAGTGTTCACATTAAATGCAAAAACTAATTGGAATACTTAGAAAAAGTTAAAAAGAAGTTAGAAATTAATAATTATTTTAAAAGTAGAAATAACATTCAAATGAACTTTAGTTTATTCTTTTTATTTTTTCGCAGGTAGCTGTCGAGTCAGTTGTTAAGTCATTTTTATTGGAACATAGCGTAGCCACCTATTTTGATATTTTTTGTAAAGTCAAAAAGCTTCGATAATTTAACTGGTGTAGATATTTTTAAAAATTAAGGTAAGGTGGGGTGAAGTGATAAGGGTTTTTGTGCACATACATAAAATTCACAATTTTTATTTTTTTGATCAGTTGAATGTCCTAATCGATAGAGAATTACCATAGCTAACACCCTATAGTCGCGAAATTTTCAAAAATATATTTTCAAAAAAATTATGGGTACTTTTCAAAACACTCGATTTTTGAGTCTCAGAAAAGTGGTGGGGTGAAGTGATAAATCATAAATTTTCGAACAAATGAAATAAAAGGAGCAGTGAAATTGAAATTAATGTTTATTTTATGATCAATAATAAAAAATAAATTAACAAAGAATTTAAAAAATCATTCCTCGTCTGAAGTATCAGAGTTACAATGGACACAAGTAAAGTAGTTATTTTGAATGTTGGCACATTTTAAATGACAACAACAAGTTTCACTTGTTTTTTTTTTTTTGTTTTATTATTTCTTTGGATGTTCACTTGACCTTGTTCAAAATTAGACTTTTATAAAGTTCTAGATGTATTTTCTGCGACTATAACATGTTCTAGAATGTTCCATGGTTTTAAACGGATTTTTCTAGAAACTTCGACTCATTATATGTTGTCATAAGACAATGTTCTAGAATATTCCAAGACTTTCGAGAATCTTCTACAATGATTTTGACTTATATTCTTAAAAATTCTAGAATGTTCCATAAGTTTCTCGAATGTTCGAGAAAGTTCTATATGGAAATTGACCTATTTTTCTAGAAATGTCTATGAATTTCCAGAATTTTCTTTAGGTTTCTCAATCTTTCGAGAACCTTCTGTCGTTATCCATATGGATTTTTTCGAGAAATTTCTACATTTTTTTCGATTTTTCAAGAATATTCCATGGTTCACGAAAACCTAAAGCCCAATTATTAATAATTTATTATGGACTATGGTTATTAACACTTGATATCTACTAAATTTCCGACAAAACATGTCACCAAATTTCGAATGGAATTTATCACTTCACCCCACCGAAAATTTATCACTTCACCCCATCGACGTCATTTTGTGCGCAATGACGTGGAATCGAAACTATATGATATACTTTCAAAATTCTTTTGGATTTAGTTAGATATTCATTAAACCTACATGTAAAACATATTTGCCTGCTTTGAGCACCGGAAATGTTCTCAAAAATCATGACTGGCAGAGAGACTGAGAAAAACTTTTTGACGATCATTTTTGGGACTGGTTCGCGAGAGCAACTAATTTGCGTGCAAACACTTCGATGGCTGTCTATAAAATGAGCTGACAGCTCAAACTATCCTGTACGGTATATGGTTCGCCTCTCAGATAACTACCCTTGAAAATATGGCGATTTATCACTTCACCCCACTTATCACTTCACCCCACTTTACCTTACTATTTTCGGTAAAAAGTCCAAAACATTTTAATGTCGAGTCTAAATCTGCAACAAATTTCGAAAAAGCACAACAACACAGCAGTCTCGATTAAATTAATACGATCGCTTTAAAATGTTAAAGTAACAGTTTCAACTCATTTATGATGTATGGCGCATATTAAACTTTATTTGATGAATTTTTTAATAGGAAACACGAAAAAATCACTTGAAATGATGGAGTTCCCGCAAATGACGGAGTGTAATGATGCGACACTGTCTCGAAAATAGTCGATGTCGATGGTATGATTGGAAATGAAATGGTCCAGTGCGTACAATAGAATAGAAGTGCGCTATTATTGGGTTAACGGTATTTGGTATTATTTCAAATACATAATTTAGTTTTACCATACCGAATTTCGAAAAAGTTAAAGTACTATTCAATATGGTCAATTTAATATTTCAATTCCAACCACATGAAATTATTGATTTTTATTATTTTAAATACCATTTTTTTTTCTTTACTGAATTCAAGAGAATATTTGAATAATTTTTTTAAATTAATTTTTCTAAAAAGTCATAAAATTCCAAAGAAAAATGAATTTTAAAATCATTTGGTATGAACTGCAACTGTCCAAATCGAATAACAGTCCATAACTTCATATTCAAATGTGAAAGTATTCAATTTCTAGCTTATCTCCAAAGCGCGATTGTATCATCTGATTTTGACGTTTCGTTTCATAGTCTCCAAAGTGGAAAGCCAAGTTGACATTTCGAAATGCCGAAAGTCAATTAATTTTAAAATTGTAATTTATTTTATCGCGAATCGAATAAAATTGTTGAATTTTTTTTATTGGAATTGTGTGGCAAAGCTCATAAAGTAGCTGACAAAGTCTCCTGAAAATATCATCAAAGTACACTGGACATTGTTTAAGTATAGCCACTCGAAAATATAAGAATAACTTATCAAAAATCAACAAAACAACCAACAAATACGAGCACACGGTCTAGCTATAAATAAAATATTCCATGATTTAGTACGTATTAACGATTCGCATAATTTACGTCAAACTTTGCTTAAATAAACCTTTGACACAAATGTAAAAAAAGACAGCAGCACTAGTGTAAAAAGGATTGTGTAGTTTTTTTGTTCGTTGCCATTATCTAAGTTCAGACTTTGTCTTATCATTTGTTCAGAATCCAATAAACACATATACAAATGTAAAATGTACTCAATATGCGTGTGACAAATCAAATTAATCCATATAAATTTTTTGATGATGTTTGTGGTTTTTCAGATGATTTTTACGCTAGCTCGTCGAATATCGTTCAACAGTGTGTTGAAAACCGTTTCCAAAACCACATCAGCTTTTACGTCAAATCAACAAGTGCATCGAAATATGTCAAGTCAATCGATTGATGCTAAATTCCAATTACCAAAGCGGTATCAGCGAGGCTTACTTACTTAAAAATTACTATTCCATTACTTCACCATTCCTGATCCATTCCTTCGATTCATTTTCCATTCCGATCCATTACGCATTGATTAATTTCCATTTTTTCCATTCTTTTCTTCTGATCAACTCTTAGGTATCAGGGTCAAACACCGAGCGTATGGTAAGTCGTATCATTCTTTAGTTGCTATCACGATCATATTTGTGCATTTCCTTTTTTCGTTTGTCAATTAGGAATGAATACATCCAACTTTTTTTAAAATATCAACCGCTTAATTTGGGGCAAGGTTTTACCGATTATCCAGTACCACAGTACATAACTGATGCTCTGGCCGCAACAGCAAACAGTCCGAATTGTTTGTTGAATCAATATACAAGAGGATTCGTAAGTCCAACATTTTGTTATCAATTTTATTTACGATTTAATTGAGAAAACGTCCATTACAAATTAATCGAGACTTCAATAGATAAGAATTTGTAGTACTTTTCTACTTTTCTGCAATTTCGACGTTCAACAAGTGCTTATTACTTCATCGCAATTATATTCTGAATTGAATTGATTTTCATAAATTCTTTATTTTTTCCTACAAAGGGTCATCCTCGCCTCATTCAGGCATTGTCAACACTTTATTCGCAACTGGTTGATCGTAAAATTGATCCATTCTCTGAAGTTTTGGTAACATCGGGAGCATATGAAGCGCTTTATGCGACTATTCAAGGGTAGGTCTAATTGATTTCGGGGAAACACAAATTTCTTACTCTGTTTCATTTGATAGTCATGTTGATGAAGGTGATGAAGTCATCATCATTGAACCATTTTTCGATTGCTATGAACCGATGGTGAAAACATGTGGTGGGGTTCCACGTTACATTCCTCTTCGATTGGTAAATATACCATTTCATTGCACTTTCAAAATAAAAAAAATCTAATCCGCTGACTGATTCTGCAGAAAAACACCGACAAAGATGTCATTAGTTCCGGTGATTATGTTCTCGATGACGCTGAACTAGAGGGATTGTTTAATCAAAAGACAAAAATGATCATTATCAACACACCAAACAATCCATTGGGCAAAATCTACAATAGGTTTGTATCACCTTCATTTCGTCATCAATTAGTAAATGTGTGCTCATTCTTTTTACAAATAAATTATGCGACATTCTAGAAAAGAATTGACCAAAATTGCCGACTTGTGTAAAAAGTACAATGTTTTATGCGTTTCGGATGAGGTTTACGAGTGGATGGTCTTCGATGACAATGAACATATTCGAATCTGTACTCTGCCTGATATGTGGGAACGAACCATAACAATTGGTTCTGCGGGTAAAACGTTTAGTGTCACTGGTTGGAAGACTGGCTGGGCATATGGTCCTGCCAATCTAATGGTTAACTTGCAAATGGTGCATCAAAACTGTGTCTATACATGTCCAACGCCAATCCAAGTAAGATCAAAAGGAAAAACATCGTAAATAGTTGTTATAGCTCACATTTGTTGATTTTCAGGAAGCAATTGCAATTGCATTCGAAGCTGAGCTTAAGCGCTTGGATTCGCCAGCTTGCTATTTCAATTCATTGTCTGTGGAACTGACGGAAAAACGTGACTTCATGGCCAAATTTCTAAGCGAAGTTGGAATGAAACCGATTATACCACAAGGTGGTTACTTCATGATCGCTGATTGGTCAGCTTTAGGTAAGGCAATTGAGATCGCTATTTATGGTGCCGCATTATATGACATTGCTATTTATTGTTAAACAGAAAGCAGAGCTGATTTGAGCACTGAATCAGATCCACAACGAGACTATAGGATGACCAAATGGATGATCAAGAACGTTGGCTTACAAGGCATTCCACCGTCTGTCTTCTTCAGTGACGCCAATAAAACATTGATGGAGAATTTCGTACGTTATTGCTTTTTCAAAAAGGATGAGAACCTACAAAAAGCTGCTGATATTTTGAAAAACTGGGTTAACAAAGAATGAACCATTACACCAAGATTCAAAAATTAATTGTTTTGTTTACATTTTTTTTTTTAATTACGCAATGAAATTGTAAATTGACGAGCAAAAATAAAATAAAAATTATCGCTTGTGCAAATATGTTTTAATATATTGAATTTGTATGGAAAAATTTCTTCCGTCGTTGATAAGACAATCTGAAAGTATTATTATTTCGATCTTGGAATGTTTACCATTATTTTTATTTCTCAAGTCAACTTGACAATGCATTTGACAGTGACGTGATTGTTAGCGAAATGAAAAAAAGAATTGTAAAACAATGGAACCTGAAACAAAGTTGATTACAACTTTCAATTATAAAAATGAGAAAGTGTGTGCACGCACAATCAGCAGGCTTATCTTCATTAGCAGACTATAATCGTTTGGATTGTAATACATTTCATGACAAATCAGAATAGAGTAATAAACCTGAGTAGCAAGTGCAAACACAGTAAAAATGTATCGCACATGCTTAAGCAGTATAACAAAAGTCACCAACAGATTGACATCGATTTCGATCAATACAGAACCATCGCTTCGCAAAATGTCTAACCAATCAATTGCAGATAAGTTTCAATTACCAAAACGTTGGCAAGGTAGCACGCAAAGTGTATGGTATGTGCATTCAATCAACGTTTTTTTTTTGCTGCTTGACCATTTCATCTTCGATTCCATGTTTATTAATATGATTTTTTTTTCTCACTATTAATAGGAATGAATACACTCAGCTGTTTCTGAAATATCAGCCGTTAAGTTTAGCTCACGGTTTTACGGTTTGTTATGTCATTCTTCAATTGTGTGTATATAATTTAAATTTTTTGTTGTTTTTTAATAGGATTCACCAGTGCCAAAGTATATTACCCAGCAATTGGCTATCGCGACACAAAATGCCGACCATATGTTAAATCAATATGCTCGAGACTTTGTAAGTAGTCTAAATTGATAGTATGTGTATTAAAATTTTGTGGTGTTAAATGTCAATGTAGATAGTGATTACATTTGGACAGAATGGGATTCAATATTTGTGTTATCTTAATACTATTTGTTAGGGTCATCCACGTCTGGTGAATGTATTATCATCTTTGTATTCAAAGTTGATTAATAGAACAATAGATCCGGATACAGAAGTTCTTATAACTGCTGGTGCATATGAAGCACTTTATGCAAGCATTCATAGGTAAATTTTTGAAAAAAAAATCCATTTGATAAATTCAAGTCGACACATGCATCTAATACATCTTCATAAATGCCATTTTTTTCTCATAGTCACATCGACGAAGGCGATGAGGTCATTATTATTGAGCCAGCATTTGATTCTTATGAGCCAGTGGTCAAAATGTGCGGAGGTGTTGTGCGATATATTCCACTTCGCTTGGTACATTCTTTGAAAATATTTTAAATGTCCGACAAAAGAACTGATAACGCACCATTTTCTTTTTTTTTTAGAAAAATCCCGCCAGTGACATTATCACGTCGGCTGATTACGTTCTTGATGATGCCGAACTAGAAGCTGTATTCAATGACAAAACAAAAATAATCGTTATTAATACACCAAATAATCCGTGTGGAAAAGTGTTCAGTCGGTGTGTAATTTTTAATTTCTTATACAATGCCGATTGTTTAAATCTTTTTTATTTCAAAAAAATTCAGTGAAGAATTGACGAAAATTGCAAATTTGTGCAAAAAATACAATGTGATCTGTGTGATGGATGAGGTGTATGAGTGGATGGTTTATGATGACAATGAGCATGTTCGCATTTGTTCTCTACCCGGGATGTGGGAACGAACCATAACAATTGGATCAGCAGGAAAGGCGCTCGCAGTCACAGGATGGAAGACTGGATGGGCTCTTGGACCACCAAATTTAATTTCCCATTTACATCTCGTTCATCAAAACTGTGTCGCCAGTATACCAACACCACTCCAAGTAGCTTTTTTGAATTTTTTATTTGAAATTATGTTTTTCATGTGTTAAAATTCTTGTATTAAATTTTCATTTGAATTCAAGGAAGCCATTGCGACCGTCTTTGAAGTGGAATTGAAACGATTGGATTCGCCGGAATGTTATTTCAATGTCTTACGACTTGAACTACAAGTAAAACGTGATTTTATGATCAATGTTTTGAAAAAATCTGGAATGCAACCGATCATTCCACAAGGAGGATATTTCATTATCGCCGATTGGTCTGCTTTAGGTAATTCAATTTGATTTATCATTTTTTATTTATTAAGTTGTATTTTTTTCTCGAAAAAAAAAACAGAAGATAAAGTTGATTTAAGCCAAGAACCGGACGCACAGAAGGACTATAAATTCACCAAGTGGATGATAAAGAACATCGGTTTACAAGCAATACCGCCAACTGCATTTTTTAACGCAGCCAATAAATCGCTGATGGAAAATTGTGTACGATTTTGTTTCGTTCGAAAAGAAGAAAATTTACACAAAGCAGCTGACATACTAAAAAAATGGACTGGCAAAATGTGAAAACGATAAAAAGAAATGTTTTGTTTTCCTTCAACGAATAAGATAATCAAAAAATGAATAAAATCAATTATTTTTGATTTGGTTTTCGCAATAAAAAATCGCCTAACTGTTTAATCAAGGCCAATTCGGTCATAAAAAAATTGGTACACATTGAAATTTGTAAAAAATTATTCATTGTACGCATGTCAGAAGGCGAAGATGTATAGAGTCGCCGGTGAAGTATTACTTCCTCCTTCCGTGCCAACAAAAACCATCTGAAATTGTATCCAAGTTCCGTTTACTGCGATGCAATTATATTTTTTCCCTATTCCATCGACAACACGAATACCACTTCGATTTCCGTGTATCCAACTTTTCTACTTATACGGAGGGGTAACATTCTTTTTGAATGAAACGAATTCTACCGCAAATCCAATGGATGCCTTCAATGCTCTTATAAGATATGAGATCATGCAATGATTTTAAATTTTCAATGAAAAATTCAATAATTTAATTCATTGATAAAATCTATCAATTATTTATGTTGAGAAAAATCATTGAAAATACGTCTGTCATAAATGAAATATAATTTTTTTATTGAACGCGCATTCATTGGAATTTCACCACTTAACACGCCTTGTATGATGAATTTTTTTTCTTGTTCTACTTCATTTGAACAAAAAACGAACGAATACAAAACGCAAAACGCGCTAAATGCCAACACTAAAGACGAACTGCGGTGTACAACTGCTAGTCGCGCTACCAATTGACACATCGCTGTGTTTCCATGTGTGCTGTATGCCATCACAACATTACGATGTGAAGCGACCATTATGTTCACCAAAGCCGTTGTATATATATTTCTCCAACATAACCAACGTCGAACGATACACACGATTACATGCACACACACACACCACACTTTGTGTCTACTGTGAACCGTGAGTGGTGTGCTACGCTTGTGCCTGTGTGTACTGGTCGTTGTGTGTTTGTTGCGGTAATCGGTGTATAGATGATATCTACCGTGGTGTGTATAGCGACACACAAAAATTCGTAGTTCGTGCATTTCGAACTTGAGTTGCGCTTGGGCCATAAGGAAAAAATGCTGCTTGACAAACAGTCCGCCATATTTATTAAAATCCAATAGTACATAATTCGTGGTTAATCAGGCAGCAATTTACAGTCCGTAAATTTTGTTTTTTTAAGTTTATGTCGTTCGACAAATTTTATTAAGAAAAACAAAGCAAAGTTTCAGTTTTCTTCAGTTTTAATTTTTGTTTTTTTAAAACAAACAAATCGTACATAAGCGAACGTACAAAGAAAACGGAAAAGCACCGAACGATAGAGATAGAGAAAAAAAAGAAGAAATACGACGAGAAGTTGAGCAGCAGTTCTAACCATAAATCGACATCGTTCAGTTTTTCATTTCGTGGTGTTGTCTTTTTTAAATTCACACTGTGAAACACGCTGCATCTACTTGTGCAAAGAGAATTACATCGCTGAACATCGATTTTAGAAACGCTCAATTAACACGAGCACACGACTCGAATTAAGAAGCCAAGAGCTCAGAGTTAAAAAAGAAACAATTTAACTTTTCAAATACAGAATTAAAAAAAAGCAAATATGTCAGAGGCAGTGGATATTGACCCTATAATTTCAAAACTATTGGAAGGTGGGTTTCAAAATCATTTACGTTGTTGTTATTTTTTTTATTGTTTCATCTATCTCATTTGGTAAAGTGAAAATAAAAATTTTTGTGTGCGTAATACGGAATGGTTTTAATTCTTAAAATGGAAAATCGCGTAAAATATAACATATCAAATTTAAACAAATCAGCAAAAAAAGAAGAAATTTTTTTTCGTGTTTAAGAGACGTTATGTGCATGTGTATGCGGCAATAAAACCGCACCAATCGTTATTTTTTATTCTTCCTTCGTTCGCCACCGATTTCAAATTCTGCGAATGACGACCATGAAGTAGTAAAACAAAGTGCGAAAAAAAATTTATAAAATAAAAATGTCTAAGAGTTTCAAGAGACTTAATCAAGGAATGACGTGAGCGCAAAAAAGAAATTGAAATTCAACTTTATTAAATAAAACATTGATCAGAAGTTTGAAGTTGTATAAAATCAAGTGCATCTAATATGAGCGTAGAAACGAAGAAGAAGAAGAAAAAAATGAAATAAAAGTCAACTTTAGAAAAAGTGCTACTGACTCAATGTTTGTATGTGTAATGTATATGTGACAGAAAATTCGAACATTGAGTAAATGAGCAACGAGAAGAAAGGAGACACTATGATACCGCACAATATAATTATAATTGTACACGGTGTATGACAGAGAGAAAACGAAAGGAGACGAGCAAGCAACAGAAGCAGAAAAAACGTTGCGTGGAAATCAAATGGAATTTACGCGATTTTAACGAAGAAAAAATAATGAGAAAAATTGAAACAAATCTAATCGCAAATTCAGTACAAATTTCCTTCATTTTTTTTCATTATTTTATGTTGATTGTGTGAGAGCGCGCCGCTGTTGTCGTTCTTATTATTTTTCACTTTGGTCGAGTTCAAGATTGTGACATTTTTTCAATTCTTCTTTTTTTCGAATGAAGAGCAAAGCGAAAAGAAACGAGTGAAGAAAAAAAAAGAAGAAGAGGAAGATACATATACACATGTACGCTATATTAAATGATTTCCCTGCCTTCAATGCCCAAATTGTCTGCGCCACCATTTTACATTTTCGTATATGTGTGCGTACATATTTAAAAAATATATATATCGTTCGATGTACGAGTGAGTTTGAAGTTCGTTATGCTATGCTGTTAATATTACTGTGACTGCGTATTGTATAGAGAAATATTTTTGTGTGGTACATACTACATTCAATGTGATGTTGTTGGATTAAATTTTTTTTGTTATTATAAATATATAACGATATATGTCTGTATACATCAGCAACAATACAGACAAGTAACAACGAATATATATGAATTATTTATATATCGTATACTATTTTTCCGCACTGGATCAGAGCATTTTGATTTTATCGACCATAGCAAGTTTTTATTTATTTATACACGATGGTCAAATTGCCAATTCGATGTTTTCACGTGGAAACTAAATTTTCCGCAACGATCAATTCACCACCGATGGATACATTTGGCATTTCATTTTATGAATCATATTCTGACTCAAATGACGTGCTTGCCATTTTTATCGTTGTTTTGATTTTTGCTCTTTCATCATTTCAATCGCAATAGTTTCGATTTGAATAAAGGAAAAAAAAATATTGAGCGATTCAAAGAAGAAGAAGAAGATTCGAAAAATAAAAACAATTTAATTTGATGACTAAATCCATCAAAGAAATGCTCAATGCTATAGGCAAATGTGTGTTGTTGTACAACAAGCAAATTGAGGATAATGCCTAGAATGTATGTCAAGGAAAAGAATATATTTTTTATACAATTCATTATCAAAACATTTACATCGACGTCTTCGAATGAATTTTTGTGAAAATTTCTTCTCTGCCTGCGAATTCCCATTCCAATCAATTTTTATTGCAATCGGAAACCAAAATGAACAACTTGGCAAAAAAAAGTCAATTCAGTTAGAGTCCCGATTATGGTTGAACAAAACCTTTTAAGGCGCTCTGCTCTCTATCGGATCAAGGGAGCAACAGCAAAAAGTCGCGTTGTATGTATGCACGTTTCCTCTTTGATACAGGCACTCAGAACCAGATAAAAACGTTTGTATGTAGAGAAATGAGATGCGGACACTTTCATGAGAACGGACGAAATACCCATGCAAACAACAGACACATTGAGGAAAATTGGAATAAAAAAAATCCACAACAAATGTCAAGTGAAAATTTGATATTGACGTCGTTCAAGTTACGTATAGTAGTAGTATATATGTATATATTGTAGAGAATCCATACTTTGTCCTCTTCTGTACGGTACGCCAGTAGTTCTGTGTCCGTGCTATCTATTTTATCACTTGTTCATGTTGTTTCGAATCAAGAATATGGAATACAATAGGGGGAAAAGAATTCGAAAGAAAAGAGAGCACATACACACACACACACTAAATAAGAAGAAACATTTTTCGTTCGATGGAAGGAAAAATGCTAGAACCATACAAAAATGTTAATGGTTTCGTTCTGTTCTGTTCATTTCTCTCTGTTTCTTGTTGTTTTTTCTTTCTAAATGACGCGAGCCAATCTCTTGCTCATCAGCAGTTGTCTGTATGGAAGCCACTTAATACAACGCGCCTTTGTCGAGTATCATGATAGCTTCCTACGCACTTGTTCGCTCTGTGTAATGATGCGATATGATTTTGTGTGGTTTTCATCGCGCTCATATGTATATATGTATAATGAATTCAATTGCCTTCGTACCGTCTCGTGTGATTCATATATATTCATATATATATTGATGACGACCCAAGTCGGTTTATAGATCGATTCACATTCGTACATATCGAGTTATTTCTCTCATCATCATCATCATAATAATCATCATTGTCGTCGTCGTTGTCATCTTTTGCCATCTCACGGCTCAAATATGTAACAAACAGAAAACTTGTTTGTATGTGCACGCCAGTTCTATTGCCAATCTTAGCATTTCTCTCATTTCCAACTTTCCAACTTTTTATATTATGTTCATTTATTATTTTCATATTAGATTATTTTTTTTTGTTTCGTTTGTTTCATTCAAACAACAGCAAACAAAAATTTCTCTATTGACTTTTTTCCAGATACATCGGAGAAAAAGAAAATTCCGATTATTTTTTCTGTAATATCGAGAACATCACGAAACGATCAGTTTAAAATAGTTTCGTTTGTGTAGATAATTTATTTGAATAATAATGCCAAAAAGTCACGATTTCCATAATGTTTCTTCAGTGCAATAAACAAAAAACAAACTCAACCGTACGAAACTCATATCAAACAACAAATATGAAAAAAAAAAATGTAAGCTGTAATCCACTGTAATCGTACGAACCGAAAGAGTTTGAAAGGAAAATTTATGTGCATAAATGTCGTGTGCCAGCAATTGGACAGTGGTTTCATCACATATAGAAAGCAAATACGCAGAGAAATGGAGAGAAGTTTTCTATTCTCAGATTGATTTTTTGTTTTTGCTTTTTCAGACACATATCCATATAATAAAAAAAACACAACAATCGAGAAAAAGAGAGTCAAAAGGAAAAGTAAAATAAAAACCAACGACAACCGTACATATAACACGGTGTTAAACCATTTTTTGCACGCTCATCTCATGATGCGGTAAATGCAAAATGAAGAAACGAATTCAAGTGTGTGTGTGTGTATGGGGAAAGAGTGGCAATCGTGTACTGTGTGTTGAATGATGACGCCACTTTCATGCAGCTCATCCAATCTGTATTGCCTTTTGCCCAGTGCTGTTACGGCTGCTAATATCCAATTCTACTGCTGCTTCTGCTGGTGTGTAAGATTCCGCGCCTGCTGTGATGTCGTTTTGCGTCTAAAAACGCAAACACGGAATCCTTTGGTAAAACTGTATTCTCATGCTTAAGCCTCTGTACAGTTGTCATGTTTCAAGGTGAAAGCAGAAAATCCATACGAAATGAGCTTCAATCGCGATTTAATGCGTGTTGAACATCGGATGAAACATTTTTTTGTGATTACTTGTGTTTCATCGCAGTTTGAAATTGACGATATGTCCTTGCTTAAATAGAAATGTTCCACCGCCGGGTCGAATCAAAACAAAAAGAAATGGCTTTTGTTCAATGTTCATATCATTCAAAGCTAATCAAAGTCATAAACTCGTATCGATTTTATTTACGATGACACTCCTATTCTTACTATTGTGTCAGCAAATTGTCGATGATTTCAGCATTGATCGCATTCCATATGCGCCTGCACAAGCTGTTTACAGCTCGATTTCTGTGCTTTTCATCCATTTCGAAACAGACAAAAAGACACACAAACAATGACAACAAAAACCGTCCAAATGACTTTAATTAACGGTTATTTGAAATTAGTTTGTGATTATCGTGGTGCGATAAGCTCCTTCAAATCGGCTAAATAACATTTTAAAGCTCATAATAATAAAACAAGCAAATGACTAAAACCGTCTGATTTGATGTGAATTATAAAATATCAACAACATTATTGTTATTTCGTTCATTCAGTGCACATCGTGCTCTCGAATTCATCATCCAAAAAAAAAAACAAATTCACGTTGAAATGATTCCGCGTGATTCAAAAAGAGTATACTAGCACAAATACACAACGATTTTCATAAATTCAATGAATAATAATGAACTAATTAAAGGCGAACAAGAAATTATCGACTTTGACGTGTTGAACTCCACTGGATGCGCGCAATCTTTTTGTCTCTTCCTCTCATTCTATCAGCTATTTTCACATGCAACTATGTCACATTTAATGTTCATTTTATTACACATACATGCATTGAAAAATTCTATTGTGTTTTTTTCTGCTCAAGTTATCACATCCATTAACAAAAATCTCTCTCTAAAAAAACGATGAAATTGGATGTTTCTTTTCACAGCACAAACCGGCTGAACAATGGAATGAATGAAAGGCAACACATTTATTATATTTATACGTGCATACATTTTTCTTCGTTGTTTTTTTCAAATTCTCGCGTAAATTGCAGAACGTGGGCC